AGGAACCAAACAAAAAAAATCGAGATCTAGAATATAGGCTATGAACTAATTAATTATTCAAAAATAGACATAGCCATGATGCAAGTTTTAAACTTGTGAAATCTATTAATCATTGAACAAACCAAATAGTATTTATAAGAATTTGTAGAGTTGATCCAAGTGGGTTAAACTTTGACGGTCAAAATAGGAGCTAGCATAATATGTTGTTTTGTTGATTCTTTTTGTTATTTTATTTCCACCTTCTTAGTAAATGATATTTTATGGGTTAATTATGTTGTTCTTGTATCCAAGTAAACGATACATTATGGAAAGTTTCCATTGGAAACAGACCTGTAATATTTTACGGGCTTGTATAAAAGACCTGTACAGTTTTACAGGCTTGTAGAAAAGCAATTTATGAAATGAAATGTCACATTCGACATATTAATTAAAATTTTAAATTTGAAAATCGTTATCTAAAGGTTAAAATAAAAGTTTGTACGTGTCACGCTTTGCAATTAATCTTTACTAGGCTCACTGGATTATGGGGTTCGCTCCTGCCTCGCTCACCCCACAAACTTTCAGCTCGCCTGTAAAGATTCATTTACAAAGCTTGACATGTAAATAACTATTTATCCTGCACTGTGTCATATTTGGGTCATTATCTTACATACTAGAGAGGGTAAAAATACTTTTAAGGATATGTTTTGGATATATTTTTCTACATAAATGTAATATCTGCATTTGAAGAGTTTCCAGGGAATGTCTTTAATAGTTATTTACATGTCAAACTTTTATTTTAACCTTTAGATAACGATTTTCAAATTTAAAATTTTAATTAATATGCCGAATGTGACATTTCATTTCATAAATTGCTTTTCTACAAGCCTGTAAAACTTTACAGGTCTTTTATACAAGCCCGAAAAATATTACAGGTCTGTTTCCATAATGTACCTATCGTTTACTTGGATACAAAAACAACATAATTAACCCATAAAATATCATTTACTAAGAAGGTGGAAATAAAATTAGGTATATGATTTTTTGAGGCATCAGAAACATTTGCAAATAATTTCAGATTTTTTTTAAAGCACAGATTCCAAGAAAATAATTTTTAAAGTTAAATTTGTTGCTCATGAGATTTCCAACTATAAAATTAATTTTTAAGCTATCAATATGTAAACAAATTTTAAAAAATCGTTTCTAAACGTGAGCAAAAAAGTGAAAATTGATTAATCCAGTATATTTTCTAATGTAAAACTCAAAAAACTATTTTTTAGCAATTTTTGAAATTGTCATTTTAAATTTTGTACTGCCAACTTAAGAAACACAAAAATATCACACCTTAAACCTTAATTTTTCCATTATAGGAATAAATAAACAATTTATATTATTACGCATTTAATTTTTATGTTGTTTTTAGTTTTTAATAATACCCACTTTCATTTGTAATAAAATAATAATTTGTTCATTAAAATACAATGTAATTTATTTAAACTCTTTAAATGGAGATACTACCTTAACATATAGCTATCTAATTTTGAATTAACTTATTTTTACATTGTAACTAATAAAAGTTTAAAGGCGCGTGAAATATACATATTTATGCATGTACAATGTGGATAAATATACATATTTATACATGTATAATGTGGACGGATTCACAGGGACTCCAGAGTTTAAAAATTAACTGATATTACTATTATAATAGTAACATCAGTTAACTTTATTTTATTTTTTTCATAACCAAAACACATAATATCAAAAATTCCACCTAAATAATAGTATAGTATTATACGAGGCGTAATGCAGGCTTTTATTAACGAGAATGTGGTTTGCGTCGCGAGTCGCCAGACGAGAGACTTAAATCATCCGAGTGAATAATGCGCAAAATCTCGAGTGTAATACTATACTTAATCTACTCCACTAAGTAGATAATTAAATAATTTTCAAAAATAATTAAATACAATCTGACATCTGTCAAATGGCTAACCTCACTTTCTACCAATTTTAAATGTTATTATAGTCGCCTTCTCTCAATTTAAAACCCGATTGGTTCAAATCTCAGTGAATATTGAAATAGGCCAATCAATGATACCTATAGGTTATAACAACGTGAATAAGGAGTTCATTATTCCCCTCGTTATTCCCGTTGTTAGGCACGGAATTTATAATGTTTATCATTATTCACGGAAAAAAAATAATATTACGTATGCAATAATAGTAGATAAATTATTAAATTATATCCCTTAAACCCATTCTCCAATTACAAGAAATAGCTTTTTTAAACTTAAGCAGTATTCCAATCCTAGAAATATTTCGCGGAATTCTCAGAGAAGGTCCTGCATAGGTTTAGGGAAGAACGATGCGACTGGTAGCAGCAGACTTTGGGAAGTGCCAGTTGACGTTTGATATGATGTGATATTAAGAAAACAAAGAAAACTGAAATGAGGTAATGGTTTTATATATTGTGTTTACTTCCTAATTGTATCTACTTATATTTGGGTATAATGTTATGATTGTAGTAAAATGTATGGATATTTGTATAACTTAAAAGGATACATAAATATAATAAATTATATTTTTAATAATAATTATTATAATTTAACAAGGTACGTAGGTACCTCAATGTAAGGTTCTTAAGGATGTTTATTAAATGTTTCAACTTATTTACTCACTTTTAAACAGTTTTAAATGCTTGTGTAGATGTACGAGTAGTATTTAACTTGTATTTGATTTCTTTCGATGTTTTGGCTTTGAAATAAAAGTGCTAAACAATATACTATTTGCAACTACTAGAGCCAACATTTTTTTGACTTATTGATCTACCATCGAATTAGAGACAAAATAAAGGTTTATAATTAATTTTTTGGGTGGTTTCAAAGAAGCTTATTTCAAAATTATCATAATCGCCCCTGGTATTCCAGATAAAATTTAAACTCTAAACTCACAATTTCTCCTAATAAAAATTAGTCCATAGCTATGGAGTATAATACTTTATTTGTTCATCTCCTATGCATAGGAGCAGAACAAATATAGTATTATACTTGATAAATAATATACTATATTTTTATTAGGTGAGTTTCTTGCACTTACAACTACCTTAAACAGCCATCATTAATAATAAGATGATTTAAAATTTTAACCTCTGATTTAATGATTTTTAACATTATCTAAACTGAAAAAAGTTATTTTTTTAAATTAGTAGTTATTGCTATTACTTTTTTTGTGAAACCAGAACGAATTTTGTAATATTATACTTACTTTAGACAACATAAATAATTTAAATTATTAAAAAAATAATTTAACAACAGATAAATGCATTTTTGATTGTTTTGTTTGTTTATGCAGTAACAAACAATAATTTGTTTGACATTTTATTTTGTAAAATTATTTCATTTATCCGATAAAATATTTATTTATGAGAAAAAAGAATGGCGGTGTCATTGCTCTGATCATATCACCCCATAGCTCCGCTCACAAAAACAGTTTTAAATCTAGATGGAGCAAAGCTTTGTGAAGGTCAGGTTTTAAAATCGGTATGTTTGTTTATTTTTGTAAGCCGTGTCTGCACCAGAGATATAGAGAGGGAGAATAAGCTTTAAGGTGCGCGAAATTCGCGCCGCGAATGGGGACACTCGTAGCAGTAATTTTTAAACACGTACACGAAGCGCGGTCAAAAATGTTGGGTGTTTCTACACTTTTTAACAGCACAAGAAATTTTATAGCACAGGAATTTTCACAATATAAAAACACAACCATAAATTTTAAACAAGTATACAAAAATTCAACTAAACCAAAGATATTGGTGTAGAAAACAGGTAGAAGTTATTATTCCCAGATAAAAAAGCAGATCAGTTGTTTTTAGGACTCTAAAAACAATTTGGTTAGGTACTTATAAACACTGTTGTCATGAAAGTTTACGACCAAAAGTTACAAAATACCCGATTTTACTGGCAAGAGTAAAAAAAAAGTTATATTTATAAATTTTCTAGCGCATTCGCCCTATTTTGACAAATTAATTTAATTTTGTATTAATCAAGAAGAATGGTAACAGGATAAAATAATAATAATTATGTATATTTAGTAAATATACAATATCACCTACAAAAAAAATTTTAAGCTAGTATTTCGATAGAAATTTTCAAAATACCCGCTCTAATATTTTACCATCAATCATGGCGAAAATACCCGATTTTCGAGTAAAATACCAGCAAACGGCAACACTGCTTATAAAACTAATAACAAGCGATAGTTGCGTCATCTGTTTATTTTTAGGCTTGCCAATCAGAGATAGAGAATTCTATATTATCGACATCTAGTTCAAAATGTCAGCCATGAGCCTGTCGCCATAAAATTGGATGCGCAATGGTCCAAGCTCCTTCTCCCCCTCTATATCTCTGGTCTACACACTATATTTTGTTGCAATTTACTTTACTATTTCATTGCGCATCAATATTTAAAAAAAAAATTTAAAAAGATTTTATATTTTAGTAAAGCAATTACTGTTTAAAAGTCGAAAAATGGCAAAAAAAGGCAAAACGATGTTTAATTGGACTAAAAATGTCTAAAAACACATTTTCCACTAAGAATTTTAACGGTCTATCAAAATTGACGATATAGGCCTATAGTCATTTTGCCTAGAATTCCATCTCTATATATTATTAAGATGATTTAAAATTTTAGTTTACCTCTGACATAAATGATCTACACAGAAAACTGATTTAATAAATTTAAAAACTATTGCTATAAACTGAGGCACTGATTACTTTTTTAATAATCATTACTTAACAGTTTGGGGCTGAGTATTTTTGTGCTGTGCTCAAAGTAACGATGTAAAGCACAAAAAAACATTTTTTTAGACTAGGAGGTTAAAAATTTACCTGATTGGTATGAATTATTTTAAAAGACTGGTGAGTATTTACAATAAAAAAAATTATAGAAATGAGTATTAATTTATTTTATTTACAATAAATATGTACAGTACGGTTATTTATACAAATTATACACAACTTTATAAATCATCGTTTTTTCTTCATTCCTATTCTCGACAAAAAATCCAAATCCTTTTTATAGGAACAACAACAAGCTGAGGGCATAATAAAAGTATCCATAGCAGGTTCTCCATTATCACTCAAAGAAATTAACCTCCTGTAAACATATTTCTGCTTGCATGCGGTCACGTAGCCGCTTGGTAGTTCGCTCAGAATATCGCACCTTTTCCCGGGAAAACGACAAGTCTCCACTCGAACACCCTGTATATAACCATCTTTTTTCTGGTTGATTATAAACTTCCACTGGTTGTTCGTATTTTTTCCCACAGTAGGAAAGATTGTTCTAGTCGTGGCCTTACATACAAAGTGTTCGTCGAATTCCTCCATTCTATGGACGAACGCCGTTGGTTCTTCATCGTAACCAAACAATTCTTTGTGCACCGGTTTGTGTTGTAATATATTTTGAACCCGGTCGTAGGGGTATTTATCAAAATTCTCGCAGTAGGTCAAACCATCGGCACATTTCACATCGCCCAATCTTGGAAGAATTCCGCCAACATCTTCTTTCGAATCCGGAAAAGAGATTCTATCGACCTTCAATTTGCTCTTCTTCCGCAAATTAAACATTTCCGGCATCGGCTTTGTATTTGTAAAATTTACGAACATCACTAGCATTATAAACAATTTCATCGTTAAAACTGCTTTAGTATCAAGCATGCTTCCTAAATATACAAAACAAGTTTTACAAGTTTACCTGGTAGAGGTAAAAGCTGTACTTGTAGAACCAGTGAGCTCAAACAACATTGCGTAAGATAATAAAGTGGATGAACATTGATTTGACAACTATAATAAACCTAATTTTTATAAGGCGCAGGTATTAAACACTTTATAAATACTGCCGGAAATTAAGTCTTGTTTTAAAAATGCTATTTTATTTTGTTCCAGGTAAATTAATAATTTATTTTAAAAGCAAGCCTTTGAATAATTAAATTTGAATTTAGTTAATTACTTATATTATCATTTAAGGACATTTTAGAATTCATTAATGTTGATTAGTTATACATTTGAATAGCTACAAGGTCGGTTTAATTAGAAGAAAGTTATCAGTCTATTAAATTGAAAAAAAATCAACGGTTCTTAAATTATTTGAAAAAAAGAACATATTTTACTTAACCCTTGAGAAGATATTTGTACCAAATCCAATGCGTACTAAAGTTACACAATTCGTGGGTTGAGTATTATAATGTTCTAACAGCACTTTTGGCGCGAAATCGGCTTTTTTGATAGAAAAATAGTACATAAAATTTCTGTTCTATGTATATAAAAATGCCTGTTTAATTTAATACACAAACTAAAAAAAAGCATTATTAAATTGTTCTATCGCACTTATATAAAAACGGTTTAAAATTATAATATTCTAACAGACCAACCAATGAGAGAAGAGAATTTTGATCTGTTAGAACAATATAATTTTTGCTGTTTCAGTTTGTATGCAAGTAATAATCACGTAATTGTGCGGTGCAATTTAAAAAAAATAATACGTAGGTATGTTCTTATTTAAGGGATATTTCTTAGAACCCTAAAGTTTTGGAATTCTTTAGAACTAAAAACTTTTAGTTTTAAAGAATTTTGTATGCTGTTAGAACAAAATCTGATGTTTTGTGTAAAATTTTCGTTGTCAAAAAAAAAAAAGTTCTATCAAAAATTGTTTATTTTGTAAAACCCAGTATTGGAAGAAATAAGTTCAAATAGGGACAATACATTTTTTAATTCTTAAGAATATGAGTCCAAAACCAGTACTTAAAATTATAAAAATCTTTACAAATGGTAGTAGAATGAGCCCGAAATATTTAATCGCCATTCCCCAACAATTTCATTTTGGATTTATAGAACAATATAACACGAACACGAATTATATATACACTTTTTTTTAATAAATTCTTCAAACTTTGTTAAATATCTTTTAAATGGTTAGAGTAATCGCTTAAACACATCCGTCCTTTTTTCCTACAAAAATATGTATAAATTTTTTATTAAAAGATTAAATAATAATGAAATTTGGTCTTTTTTATAAGAGACTATTAAGAGCTCAAATTTGGAGAGCACTTTCTAGGTGCATAAGAATCAATTTTTCAGTGTCGGAAGTAAAAAGAAATATTCGATATTGTATATATATTTTCATACAATTTGTTTTTCCTATGGCTGCCATATTGGAATTTTACATGGTTGGATTAAAAAAAAATCAATCATGATATATCAAACTACATAAGTTATAATGTTAATGTTAGCTGGCCACCAAGGTCCAGCAATTTAACGCTCCTATACTTTTTTAAGATTTTTTCTAAAAGCCTGAATGTACCTATACAATTAAAACACAAACAATTTTAAAACTTAAAATAAAAAGCATTAACCTACACTGAGCGTCAAAATTAACGCATAATAAGTAAAACCCTTGAACAAGCAAACTGAGATATACGTTAAAGTATTTTTATCCAAAGATTGGTAAAGGCGTTTTAGAGTTAGAATGTTTTTACTTATTATGCATTAATTTTGAAGCGCAGTGTAGTTTACTTAATGTATTTTCAGTAGGTATTAATTTTATTAATATAAATAATACGATAAGGATTTTTGTTTTCCGTATTTGGTTAATTATCTTGATTCTTCAAAAACAAAAACGTTTATCTTGTTAGACTAAAAACTTAACTAAACGTTAATATTAATTTTTTTACCTTTTAAATCATTATTATTTTCTATAAACTATATTTTAACATTGTCATAGAAGCTTATTTTGCTCAGGTATTTTAATTTAGTTGACCGGCGTCGTACTATACCTGTATTAATTTTAATAATTTAACAAGATTATTAGATTTATTTCATAATCTTTAAAAGGTATAAAATTCTGCAATTAAAAAAGGTTTATATACTAAATGTTAAAACTAAATCCATAACATTTTACATGCAATTTTGTAACATACAAAATGATGCAACTATTTCTTATTATAAACAGTATTATTACAATAGTAAGTGCTTATAAAGGAGCAATATACATTGATAATGGAAATCACGAGACTGCAATAGACCGTTTTATGTCGCCCTTCGAAAGACTAGAAATGGAACAGGAACTTCTAAACTTACTGGGCCTCCCAAGAAGACCGCACAAATTAGCCAACAACCATCTAAAGAGAGCAGCACCAAAGTTTTTAATGGACGTATACAATAGTCTTCTATCCGAAGAAAACAACAGAAGCAAAAGAAGCTGTGACGTGAGCTTTAACGACAAAGAACAACAGAACATCGAGGAAAGCGACACAATCATGACTTTCGAAAGTTTAAATTATCACAACGGAACTATAAGACACCTTAAAGGAAAACAACTGTGGTTCGATCTCAGCGGGATGCAGTCAGTTCAAGACATAGTCGGTGCGGAGTTGCGGATATTTCAGCGCAGGAAACACCACAGGCATTTTTACAAATACAGGATAACGGCCTACGCTATTTTAGACTTTAACGACAATAGCATTCCAAACATTGAACCTGTTGCTTCAGTAAATACCACAAGTGATTTTAAGGGATGGCTGAGTTTTAACTTGACTGCTTGCATGAATAATTGGGTGATTTATCCAAACTCAAACAAAGGGATCTACTTGACGATTCAGCAGATCAACAAGCCGAATCATAAAGTGCATCCCTCGGATGTCGGGTTGGTTACAGTGAAAGACAAACACGAAAATCAACCGTTTCTGGTCGTGTTTCTTAAAGCCATTAATCAAGTTAAACCTAAAAGAAGAATGAAAAGAAGTGCGCCTCCCAAAACAGAAAAATCCAAATTCCCAAACTTTTTCATGCAAAACATGCAAATTAACCAAACAAAAGAATGCCAAAGACATTCCCTATATATTAGTTTTAAAGATTTACAATGGTCTGATTGGATTATTGCACCTGATGGTTACTCAGCGTATTTTTGCAAGGGGGAATGCAGTTTTCCTTTGCACGCTCATATGAATGCTACTAACCACGCCATAGTTCAAACTTTAATGCATATAAATTCTTCAGGGAGATTTCCCAAACCTTGTTGTGCCCCAACGAAGCTACAAAATATATCGGTGTTATATTTCATAGATGATAAGAATGTCGTTTTAAAGAAATACAAGAAGATGGTTGTAAAAAGTTGTGGTTGTCATTAATAAAATGTTTGTAAATTTTATATTGTGTTAATATAAACCCCTTAAACAATATTGTATTTGACTTTGTCCAAATCTAAATAAAGGTATTTACTTGAAGATTCAGAAGATCAACAATCATTATTATGTTCCCACGAACTATATACGCTAAAGAAGCATCGAGTTTTCGCAACGCGCGCGCCATCTGGTGCCGCCCGATAGCACCAAGTAATTTTTTCACAAAAGAGAGGAAGGCAGATTTTCTTTCAATTGTACAGCTAAATCGCGCACGTTATTTGTGTTTCCCGTAAAAACAAAAAAACTTTGGTTTAGTAAGTACTCAATTTTGATTTATTATTTCTTTTATTATTGATTAAGAAACTTAACGCTTTTATGCTTATATAGTTACGTTAGTGTGTGTATTTTATCCAAGTGTTTATAGTGAATTATTGTGTTTTTAATTGTAAATGTTATTCAAGAAATATATCGTTGCATTTTCATGTTTTGTCAAAGAATCCAATTACGTATATTTGTTGGTGCAGAATTAAGTAATGATAACTTTACCTAATAGAATTTAAATTTAAGTTTGTAAATTTTAAAGAAATCTAATAAGAAATAATTGTTGTACGAACATAACCTTAAAATCAAATATTTTTATATTTAAGTACTTTTAAAAACGCCCATAAGTGCATTTTAAAATATATTTACGAATTCATGGCAACATAATATTATACCTATACTCAGGGCCTTCTTAAGCACCCGAGCAACCGGGCGACCGCCTGGGGCGGCCATTTTTTGGGGGCAGCCGTTTAAGGGGAAGCTATTTTTTTGGGCCTTTATTTTTTCTGCGGCCATTAAAAAAAATCAAACAAAAATTGCCACTACATGATTTATTTGCCTACAATTTTTTGTATGTTTATAATGAGTTTTTAAATAGAAGTGCGGCATTCTATATCTTAAAAGAAAGCCGCACTCACGTAATCAATATCAAGAAGAAAATATTTTCATTTTTTTTGTTTATATTTTCTGCGTACGGGCTTCCATTATTTTTTTTTAACTAAACCACCATATGGATCGGATAGGTTGTTTATCCAGCTTTAATTTGTTTTTTTGTAGGCCTTGATACGACCATTTCTCGCTGAGCTATCGGGAATGAAAAAGTCCGTACACAAAAAATAAATGAAAATTTTACTTCACGATATTCATTAGGATTGCGCGATACTTGTTGCTTGGAAAAATTTTTCGTCTTAAGGCCCAAAAATTAGAGACTTGAAGCTTCAAATTGATTTTTTTTAAACTTGTATACGGCCATTTTTAACAAAATTTGAAAAATCGCTAAAAATTTGGAATACATTTTTGATCCTTTAACTTTTTCCACTAGTGTATATATTATACACAAGTTATGTTGGGTTTTTTCCCAAATTTGTATTTTTTACTTTTGCTTAATTATTAAAGAATTTTTTTTTAAATTTGTTGTTAGCTTTATTAGCTATTACTTATGTAGTTATATATCGCTACCTTGGTTTAACATGGTTCTATCAGCCATTTTCTCGAAAATGGGATTTTTGCATAAATAGATTTCTATATTGTACATAGAACGTTTTTATGCAAAATTTAATTTTTAAGATAATGACAGATAGAACCATATTAAACCAAGGTAAAATAAAATATTGTATTTAAAGACAAAATTTGTTATATTTAATATATTTTTTTTGTTATGTTGAGTTTTTAAGTTTACTAAAATTTTTATTTTTACTTTTAATTAAATGTTTCCAAATATTTTTAGTGTATTTTTTATGGCGGTGTATTTCGAGAGGGCTGCCGTTTCAAGTTTGCCCGGAGCGGCCAAACCTTAAAGACGGCCCTGCCTATACCTATAATACTTATATGATAAAACATCATTATAATAACACCCGTTTTTGTTTTTTTTACGTTTGAGTGGAGACTTTCTTAATAATTGCTTTTAATAATGCATAAGGCTGTTTGAATTTAATTTATTTGTTTTATGATTTTCACGTAAAGCATTACTAAATTGTGTATTTCTTATATGTAGGTACAATTTATATTTACAGGGACAGTATGCAAGTTATTTCTTCATTAGGATTTCCACTGTTTATTGCAAAACCACTAAAAACACCAAACAACAAAACAAATCGTCCCACGTTTTTTTATCCTCGATATTTTTAAAATTTTACGGCCTTATACTTTAAAACATTATTTTGTAACATACGCGTTTGACAACTAAACTGCGCACCAGTCAATGTGTTGCCACCAAAAATTTAGTCCTTTTTCAAAACGACATAACTTTTTTATTTCTTGAACGATTTTATTTTGGTTTGTGAAGCTCACGGTTCTTCAAGAAAATTTCCTACAGGGTGATATGTAAAACGGTGAAAAATTTCAATAACTTAATCCAAGCCCCGTTTGTAAAAAAAAATATTTTTTCTCGTTTTTACTTTGAAATAATGAAGTATTATGTCTTACCTTGAAACGTTTTTCAAATTTTTCGGATTGGAATCTTAGCAACAAAAATAGGAATTTTTTTTTAAAAGGTTACATTTGATGCTTTTTTGTAGGCAATACACTCAGCCTTTTTAAGATAAAAAAAGGTAAGATGCTGAAAGATTGTTCCTTGAATAATTCTGAACAAGCGACAAGCAACAAACTTCCATTAATTTCAGAGGAACCTAAGCAAAGACCACTTTTTCAAAATGACATTTTGGAGAAAATTTGCGAAAACTAAACCTGAACTGATATTTACGTTCGTGACATGTTTGCTTTATAATTTTGACCTCCTGATGTGATTCAGTTGTCAAATTTAAGTTTTAGATAAAACCAAAATCACCAAGAATCAAAATTCGAAAACAATTCCCGGCTGTTAAATCTCTCAATAACATGCCTTTGCCAATGCCATTGGGGGATTCATTTTTTGGGAGAAATTACTGCAATTTGTTTAAGTGGTAAAGGATAATGTTACATAAATTACATTTATATTGCACACTAGTGATAACTTATTACTGATAAGTACCTACCTAATTGGTAATAAAGTTAAAAACAAAATTTGTTCGTTCATTTTTGAAAATTTTATGCCAAGATATAATCATTATAAAAACTACAACATTCAACATAAAAATGTAACAAACAATAACTTTCAATATTTCGTTGGCCCTCCCCTAACCCGTAATAATTCGTTAACCCTCCTGGGCATTCCCTAGACCAAGTTCCTTAAAAATTCCTGGGGTATGGCTTCCCATTCTTCCTGAATCGAATTTACCAATTCATCCAATCTTTCTATGAGCCTTTCATCTTCAGTTTCATCCTGCTCCACACATGCTCAATATGATTCATATCCGGAGACAAAGGTGGCCAATTCATTCTCTCAATATCATGGTCCCTTAAATATTCATTTACGATATTAGCGCGATGCGGACAGGCATTGTCGTCCACCAATACCAAATTATTGGCATTTAATCATTCATCATTTGATCCTTGATTTGATCATTCAGTGACATGATAATAATGTACTAAAGATGCAAAACACAGTAAAAAACAGTACAATCCAGCAATCAGATTTTATTGAGACATTTAACAGCCAGGAATTGTTTTCAAATTTTGATTCTTGGTGATTTTGGTTTTATCTGAAAACTTAATTTGACAACTGAATCACAATCAGGTCAAAATTATGAAGAAAACATGTCACGAACGTAAATATCGGTTCAGGTTTAGTTTTCGAAAATTTTCACCAACATGTAATTTTGAACAAGTGGTCTTTGCTTAGGTTTCTCTGAAAATAATGAAAGTTTGTTGCTTGTCGCTTGTTCAGAGTTATTCAAGAAACAATCTTTCACCATTTTATCTTTTTGTTCTTAAAAAGGCTGGGTGTATTGTCTACAAAAAAGCATGAAATGTACTCCATTGAAAAAAAAATAATATTTTTGTTGTTAAGATTTCAATTCGAAAAATTTAAAAAATGTTTCAAGGTAAGACATAATACTTCATTATTTTAAAGTAAAAACGAGAAAAAAATATTTATTTTACAAACGGGGCTTGGATGAAGTTATTCAAATTTTTCACTGTTTTACATATCGCCCTGTAGTAAATTTACTTGAAAAACCGTGAGCTTCATATCTACAGCGGGCATTTTCCAGATAATGGGGCTAGCAGACATCACAATCCAAAATAAAATCCTTCAAGAAACAAAAAAGTTATGTAGTTTTGAAAAAGGACGAAATTTTTGGTCGCGACACATTGAGTGGTGCGCAGTTTATTATAATTAAAAGTTGAGTTTTGCTTCGATGAAAAATACTTTAAATTCCGTTCTTTATTAACCTTTTCATAAAAAATACGTTTTATTTCAAATAATAAATATTAATACATTTTCAGTAATTCTGTTTAATTAAAGATTGAACAATATTATGCAAAATATAATGGAAATGTGGTGGTCCACAGAAAATATATTTTTATAATAAATACCTTTTTTACATTTAAGACTTATCAATCTTATTTACCACTCATAAAATTTATTTATAATACAACTAAAAACATTTCTATAAATAATCACATGGAGGTCGGATACCAAATATTCAATTCTCTTAACTCTGACGGCGATAGGTTTTTAGTCCTGGAATCACTGTTCGATGCGGCAGTCGTATCATTTTTTGCTGCAATTTCATTATAAGTCATTTCGGTGTCTGACAAATTCCTTGGCGTTAATAAAGTTGACAGAAACCAGATTTTTTCCTTTGTGACGTTCCTCTCAGATGCTTCTGTAAAATGACTGTGTTGCACTTCAACCTGATGATTGTGCGGGATTTTGCTTTGAGACGTGGAAATGTCTCGAATTATTTTCTGTAGCAGATTCATTGTTAAATTTGAAAGTTTTTTAAGTTTATCGAATAGTTATATGTGTTCTAGGTAATAAATGTAAGGATTGCTTTGGTTCGACGAGGTAGTATGATGAGGTATGTTTATAAAATACTTGTCTACCTAAAGGTAAAATTTCTTATCTACGACTATTGCGTAAA